GGGGAGACTTCAGCAGTCAGCCTCCTAAAATGGAAGCAAGAATAAGAACAGACATGATGTAGCTTATAATAGTACAGAAACTGTTCTTCAGGAGAGGTAGAAGTCTGCAAACAAGAACAGAATAAAATTTATTTTTCTGCTACTTATACTTTCCCCTGTCCCTGCTTCGTGCCCTATTTTATCCAGTCATTATTTTAAGTTATGCTTTTTTGACAGTTTATCAGTAGAGTTATTAACATTTCTAGTCCTTTGGATATCTAGGATGTTCAGAGAAAGCTGAATTGAGCTTAAACTTCAGCTAGATTCTTTCAGAGCCAAGAACCTGTGTAGGGTACCAGTAATGCAGCAATTACATCAGCCAATGCCCTTCAGTATGCCCTCCTAGAAAGTCTACGTGCATCCTGGCCCTAAGATGCCTTTTCACTGAGGGAAAATTATTATCATTCTGGGCAGAACTTTGTATTTCACTCTTATACTCGTTTTTTATAAAAATGGCCACCATACCCTTAGCACAAATCAAGGTGTATTTTGTAGCCTTATGTGAAGTACAAGTTTTGGATCATATATTTTAAACACATTACATTTGATTTATACTTACTCTATAGTGTTTTTTCAAAAAACATAGGGAAAGAAATCTGTGCAAATGAGTTGTATCACCCTAGCCATGAAAATGAGTTCTACTGCACTGGAGAAAAAACCAAAACAATCCAAAACTTTTTAAGAAGGAGTCTTATCATTCCTTTAATTCTCATTTGCTTTTTTACCTCACTAAAACTGCTCAGATTATTGAAGAAAAGCAGAACTTTTGGCTAGCAGATCCAAATTATTACCAAAAAAAAAAAAAAAAAAAAAAAGAGCAGGAAAAGAATCTTCAAAAATCCCTTAGGCACAGAGTTTATTTGCTTTATTTAAAACATATATGATAAAGTGACTGAGACAGTAGTGCCTGATTGGTCCTGACATGAAGCCCCCAGCTGCACAAAACATTTTGGTAGGCTGACTGGCTCCTTCTGATTAGATCTGACAGATTATTAGAATAGTATTATTTGGTGGATCCTGAGAGTAGGAACTGACACACCATTTCACAGTAAAGGACATTACTATCTATTGCATGATGCTTGATTTTTATTAGTATTTTTTTTCTCTTTTCTAGGTGTCTTCTTTTTTTTCTTCCTTTTTGTTTTGTTTTGTTTCCCTGATCCTCCCTCAGGATTTGCAATATAGCTTGTATATGCTTAGCATATGTTAAGAAGCTGTCAGCTGACAAGATAACATCTTGGTCATGAGTATCACTACGTAGAGGGACACTGAACAATGTCATCCCATTTTCTGTGGTCCACCTATCAGGTTCATTTTATATCTACTGCAAAGAGCAAAGTTATCTGAAAGACAAAAGGAAATGAATAAGAATAGAAGCAGACTTATTTTGTTGTGTATAAGAGCCCTGGGAGGCATGACAGGTATTAAGCCTCCACCTCCACTTACTGATAAAGCAAGTAAATAGAGCCTTTAAAACAAATCATACATTTTTAAAGATATGAGAAAGTGTTGAGAGAAGCAATGTGAGTGTACCCTTTATGTTTTAACCAGTCTTTTTTTATGTAACCAACGCCTAGTACAATTGCCAAGGCAATTAAGGGAGTGATAGCTATGTGGAATGAGGATAGTGATACAGGGCAATTAGGAAGTCTATTGTAACTATGCACCTTCCATTTTGCTTCACCCACATCACCTGCAGTCTGCATACTGATTTCTCCTCCCAGCACTTACTTTTACAATGCCAACCTCCAAAATTGTTCAAACTGCAACCCCTTCCTAGAGGCTGGGCTGGCAGCGATAATTACTGTAAAAGTTGCTTAACGCTCCCTGTTACAGCCCTTCTTTAACCAAAAATTAACTGCTGAATGGAAACAAAATGCTGTTCTGTGTAGCAATGAATCAAACATCATTTAGAAAGAAATTGGATGTTATCAGGCAGTAAAGGTTATACCATAAAACACAGGGACAAATGGACCACGTTAAAATAATCCGCATTACATTTTGAGTAGAGAATTTGCCACTTCAGTGAAACTCTTTTGATGTGCTTTTACATACTGCATTTGCACTTGTAGGATGGTACAATGTGCACGATGAGCATATTTAAATTTGTATCTTATTTTATAACTACAATAAAGGAAAAAATAAGTTATTGGAGATAAATGCTTCCTATCTTTTTAAAGGAATGTATAGCACTTTGGCTTTGTAGTTCCCCAAGTGCAACTGTGGCTGCAAAAATATGAGAAGCACAAAGAAAATAAATGAGTGGCATAAAGATTCTGTTATCTGAGTTATTAATGCATAGTGATTCCACTTATTAATAATAATCTAACTTGAATGTGAGGCAAGGGATGGATTAGATGACCTCCTTAACAAATTTTCTATTATTTTAAAAACTCATGCTACCAAAATCTGTATTGTCTAGCACAGGACTGTATGTTTTATATGCAAATATTTTGCCTGTAGGATTTCTACAGCTCAGTCTAGCTCACTGCCATGCTGTAGCTCTTCTACAGAACTGGGTTAAAGAATCTTTATCAGAACTGGGTTCTTTAAAAAGAGCTTCAGCTGAGAAAAGCTCCGGAACTAGAACGAGGTATGATGTAGCAGGCCACTGAGAAAACCTCTCACTGCATTTCATTTCACTGCCAGTTTTGGGCATGGTTCCCCTATTTTAAAACAGGAGATCCTATTCCCGTCCTCTGGCTTAAAGTAGTACTGAAGTATGTTTTGGGAAACTGAAACACCAACATAACTACTAATGATTAGTGGTTATGGATAAACTGGTTCTCCATTCAAGTAAAAAAACTTTCACAGGACAGAAGTATCTGCCATCAGAATATGGGTATAAATAGCATCTTTACAAATGTCACTTCCTTTGTGGCTTCACATTTATTGTCTTGCATCAGCAATGATGTCGTTTATTGGCTAATTAGACCACCCATTAGCATAAACATAACAGTTACAACACCTTGAGTTATTGAATCTACTTCAAAGAAAGATTGTGGAATCTAAAGCTTCCACATCTCAGAGCGAAGCAGATTTTTCTGTATAGGCTGGATCCCACAGGATCTGATTTAATGTCTACTAAAGCCAGCCTAAAGGTTTCTGGTCACCTAAAGAGACAATGGTTCAGGCCTTCATTTTGTATATTAGTCTTTTCCACAGTTAGATGCATTTCAATGTCAAGCCATCACACACAATTAGTGCCTGGAATTCTCCCTGGACAAAACCTGCAGTACCTCTTGAGGTAGAGCGAGAAAGCAAGCAATGTCCTGGACATTGTTGTGAATGGAATCTAGACATGGGACATGGAAGGACCTTATATTTTTCGTTGAATATTGAGACTTTTAATCTCAAACACTCTAATCCTGTGGATTCTTTTTTTTTTTTTTAATTACTGTTCTAGAAAAACAAAATAACTTTTGGTTTGAAAATAAAATTTTCTATCAGCCTTGCTACACAGGCCTACTCCTTCCAGGATGGTTCTGTTTATTTCAGATTGCAGTGGTATTCATGATAGGTTCAGTTTTGCTACATCCAGTCCCAACTGGGGAGGAACAGTGAAGGCAGAATCTCTTTCATCACTGAAAATTAATGGTACATGAAAGAGAAGAAAACATAAAATGTAGGTAAAAGATAAAAATATAAGCAGTGATGAAGAAGGCGCTTTCATGAGTAAGAATATTATCCTAATGTTATTTTTAGTCTGATTTTTGGATGTCGGATCTGTAGGGACAAGTTGGCAGAGCACTTATTTAAATAAAAGCAGTCTGTGACAGGTCTGGGGGTGCATGCCCTGCAGGGCCCAGAGCCCTTGGCCGTTTGTTGGTCCAGCCCTCAGAACCCTATCGCTCCTTCACACGGGCTGGGGGCAGTGAAACAAGAAGGAGGGCTTTTCCTGCACCTCCATGAGGAGACATGCTGCTGTCTCCTCTCTCAATATCCGTCCTTCCAGCTTCAGTGCAATGCTCATCTCTTCCCTCTGTATCAAAAGTGAGGCGAGTTGGATATGGGAGAGAGCAACAAAGCGATGCACATGTGTGTGAGTGTGCCTGGGGAGCACCAACATAATCTGCTGTCCATTGTCTCAGTTCCTCAGTTGGGGATGACTGTTAGCATCTGAGAGCTTAAACCCTGCAGGGTCTGCGGGAGATTCAGAGATGGTGGACATCCCTCAAATTACTGCAGGTACTCAGCAGTTCTTGGCTGTTATCACTGAATATCAGTGCACATCAAGCAGAGGCAGCATGGCAGGGAAAAGAATGAGAACAAAGTGGGAAGTCATGAGCTCTGATTTTCAAGATATGGAAAGTCACTCTATTTTAATATTCCCATCAGTATAATAACATATTGGCTTAGTGATCCACCATGATGTTGCACTGATTAGCCAATATCTGTGCAGCTCTTTGAATTTACAAGTCCTTATTCATCACTCTGTTCTACCAGTTTTATGAGTTGATGCTAAGAATCACTGTTGAGCTCTATAAAATTGATCGATATCACTATTAAAGCATCAATATTCTTCCTGCAATCACTCACAGAGGATGAATATCTACAAAAATTTTAGGATCAAAATAGTTAATAGAGTGGATAAATTATTCAGAGACGCTGGCAATGATGTTCTCCTGTTAATTAATAAGATATATCTGAGGACTTACAATTGTCTCCCTGAGTAAGCTCCATTTTCAGCTGATGCTAAAATCTTGTTATAGAATGGTTGGTCTTTTGACATGTTTCATTAACATATTTCCATTTTCATGGACCATATATACTTATCCTAATGGAGAAAAAGAGAAATGTATATTTTTCCTTTTTTATTTTTAAGAAAAGAAGCCAGACAACTGACAGCAAATTCACATATTGTTCAGCATAAATGAGCTGTTATCACTCCTCACAGCCCCAGCCTTCAAATCTTTGAAATGCTCTGCAGTTTGGACTTGGATGACTTATATAGGACCTACCTGGTGCTTTGCAGGTCCACGACTGCGAGGCACAGAAGACCCTGTAGTTGTGGAAGAGGCTCCTGGTCAAAGCAGAACACTACTGTCACCGTGGCTCTGTTGTAGGCTTGGCCCATTTGTTTCCTATTAGCTGTTAAAAAGGAGACCAAAAGCAGACAGGTGTGCCCATGTCACTAGCATCGGCAACTGCACCATTGAGTGGCTTCTGAACAGAATCAAGGAAGGAATGCACTCAGAGCCTGCAGTATTTATTTAATTCTGGCTTAATGAAAACCACTGCAACCAGCAGAAAACACTTAATTTTCTTAATAGGCCTTGCCTCTGGCCTTTGCTCCTCTAGCAAATCTGTCCAGGGCAATGTGCTGGGACGTAATGGGGAAAACTGTATTGCTTCTAGCAATGAGCAGTTCTCTGGACAAAGAATCTTGTTTTGGTTCTGACTTCTGCCGTTTTAGCACACAGTTACAGGAGACATGGTGAAGAATAGGGAGAAAAAGGCAGGTTTATGATGCAAGCCTATACTCAACAACAAAAACAACATGTCAGGTGATGGCCATAAAAAGACCTCACTAACACCAATCACCACTGAAAGGGTATGTTTACATTTTCCATTTCAAGAGGCAGATTTGATAAAAAAAATAAACTACTTCATGTGATCTCTTTGTACAGTACAAGCTCAACTTTCAGTATGTTTTATTGCTTTATTGGGAAATGATAACGCAGTCATTGATTAATGTGAAGTCTTGCAAAATAGTACTTTAAAAAAGAGAGAAAGCTTGTATGTATTTCAGACTGTCATGGAAATGAATGTATTACAAATATTTTGCCTTTATTTTAAAAGAAGTTATGGTAAAGGATGTAATATATAACCCTGTAACTCTGCAAGTCATTTTCAACACACCACCTACACTAAATGTATTAATAACTTCCCTAAGGTGAGTGTCATGCAGACCACAGATTAATGTTATTGATGGTATCAGTTTTTAAGGATTTCTAGTCCAATTGGCTGAAATGTTTGCTTCTTATTTCCATGCCATTAATTTTGCATGTTTCTCATTGTCAATATGTAGCAGGTTAAGACCAAAACACTCTTAAGGACCAATGTTGAATCTTCAAATAATATAGGCTTTATTTTTAAATTAAATCTGAATTGTCTTATTTTGCTAGAGGTATCCCTCAAACCGCAGAGTAAAAAATTAATCTATAAACTCAGTTAAACATTAACAACATTGAATACTGAAAACTTTTAAACATTTTTAATAATTTAAATATATTGTTTTGTTTGCATTTTAAATTAAATAGAAAAATTACTGCTTGTTTCCATATTAAGTAGATAAATAATGAGTATGAATTTCTAGTGTAGTAAAGTTACCTGTCCTCATGATCCCATGGGTCATAAAAAGACAATTAAATAGCATCTTTGAATCTGCTCACGGTTCTGTGAATAAATTCCCCTAGCTGGCCATCATGACTCTGTCACTAGGAGAAGCTCCCATTCTGACTGGTGTGAGTTGTTAGCTTTCTTGGAATGACAGCAAAGAATTATTTTCCTTCTTTCTCTGTGAATTCTTCTTTGCAAGTGACCTGGTCCTTCATTTACTTCACTGCTGCCTCAATTAGTCCAGCCTTCTGGAAATCTAAAACTCCATCACTGGCTCTCACCCACTCCTTAGCTATCACACTGTCGACCAGAGGCTCGCTTAAGTGTGGAAGATATAATTTTCATATAAATTAGCCTACAGCACTTCAGTGACACTTTTAACAGTCTAGGAATGTTTAATATGAGTTTAAAAATTGTTATGTCCTGATCACATGGTTTCCTGCCAAGAGGAAAAGGAAGAAAACCTTTAGGATTGCCTTACTGTCTTGGACACTACCACAACATGAAAAACAGCAGAAAAGCCTACCTTAATAGCACAAGTAACAGTACTCTTACTATGGTCTATGCATTGTAAGTGAGGTAATATTCTTTTAAGGAACTTGGAACATTTGGATGTAGCATGATAGCATACGCAAGTTTATTCTCATATGAAAGAAGAAGCAAAATATATGTAAAAGGGGAATATCCCAGTGAAAAATGCTCTAGTGCCTCTCGAAGTTAACGATGCCTATGTAACAGGGAGAGGTTCCCAGGCATTTGGGACTCCAAGACTTGCTCCACTTCCACTGACTTCATGGAGCATTAGCCCAGCCTTTGTCCACCAGTTTAATGAGCTTTGCAAGCCCGTTCTCAAGTATTCCCAAAATTTATCAGCTGAAGACACAAGCATCAACATTGCTCAGCTGTGGCTTAGCACAGGTTATGAAGTAATACTTCTTGCAAGGACGTGTCTCATAACACTAAAAATCAGACTGATAAGCAAAAGCACACAAACAGGAGGTATGAATGCAAGTTTGCCAAGCCAGGCTCCTTCACCACATTTTGCAATGTTGCCAGGCTTGTCACAGGCACTTTTCCTCCCAGATCAGATAAACTGAATGCATAGTTACTCTCAGACAAGTCTGCAGTAACTGAGGTCCATTTGCTTTGTCTGATGAACATCTCTGAACATTTCTGCAGTAGAATGTGCCTATTGACTTAGCCAAAATTCCCTCCTCTCCACACTACTCTAGGATAACACATGATATCTACTGCTGCCCTTTGCCAGCTTCAGTTGCATTGCAGCTGGGAGCTGCAGTATGGCGATATTATTAATATAATAAATTTTAGAATTACATGATGAAGTGCTTTAATTTCCACCACTGATCACCTTCTCTCAACCCTGCCCACTGACCCATTTTATCCTCTAGTGTTTGAAACCTCTTAACACCTTCAAAGAGCTGCAGAAAAAGGTTTATTTTTTCCCTTTGTAGCATGGTGCCACCCTAGATTAGAGGCCTTACTGGAGCCTCACCTCTTTCTGTGGCATTTGGAAAATGTAGAAACAGACTCTTAATCCCCTTCTCTGACAAGGTCCAAATGGCTAACATCACAGCAGATGAATTAAGCTGTTATAATCAGGCTCTCCTAAATCATCCAAATCTGAGCCCACTTCCTCTGGAATATTCAAAGGGACTTTCCCTCGGAAAGATTAGCTTCCTTGACCCTCTGCGGTCTTTTCTGCATCCACTGTGCAGAGCTCTAGCATGTCGTGTCAGCTTTAAGGAATACACAAGTATAATTCACACCCATCTGACACAACCAGAGTGATGAAAATGGACCTGTGTGTAAATTAAAGCAATGTCCCCTAGCTTCAATTATTTTGGTACTAGAACTGCTTAAATCAATATTTGTACATTTTAAAAATTACATTTCTTATTAATGATAAAGAAATGCAACTTGTGTTTCACTTCATACTGGACAGCACCTTTTTTCTACACATATCCCCCAAACCAAGAGTTGGGAAAAATGAATACATACTCTCAGTTTAAGTATTTTAGTGTCTCAGCTATATTTGTTCTCTCTTGTACTATATGTAATGTCCACTTTGAGACACAAATATTCCCTTAATTTGAGAGGGTTTCAGTTGAATGGTTGAAGTATAACAACTTGATGGGAGGTAATTGTTTGGGAGTACTCTCCATTAGACATGACTGGACTGATCCTTTGAAACATCTGGCTGGGTTTGCAAAGGCGATGAATACCCACAACTCTATCTGAACAGTGTACACAGATACTCTGTACAAATCAAACAATTAGTAGACATTTGACAGTTCAGGAGCTGCAAAAAATTATCTGGTACTGTATGCGCATATAGTTACAAGGAGAAAGCCCAAGAGCATAACTTTTATTTGATTATGACAATTAAAAAGCTAAGTTAAATTTCACCCTGCACCTTGCTGAACTTTATTTTGCAAAACCTATTCCCTGTGAGGGCCTATTTTTGAATTCTTGCCAATGTGATCTGAAAATAACCAGAATTGTTGACTTTCAGAGTAAGAAGAAAATCTCCTCCATTCTCATGGGTGTTTGAGGTAGAGAGAGACAGAGACTGTTGCTTGTATTTAGCCATGGCTGTGGACATAGAAGAGATGTAGTTCTTCATATGTTTTTATGCTGTGTCAATAAATACATTTTTAAATCATACCGCTGGTACTTTTTTATTACTTTTTTATAGTACTATAAGTCAAAACCAGTAATGAACACCTGGTGGCTTGGACTATTTATCTACAAAAAAAGTATAAAGGCCATCAAACCTTGTGAGTTATCTGGACATGGAATCTGAAAAGGAGTGATCATTTCTTGATAATGTCTTTGACCCTTCCTTGGCTGCCGTGGTCAGGCAGACTGGGAGTAAACAAATTTACCTTTTCTCAGCAAGAGTTTCAAGGCAACCCAGAAGAGTGGTATTTTCTTCTTCCCCTATCAGAACAGTGTTAATTACCACTCCGAGGAATAAATGGAAATTACGGGTGTTATCTGCTTTGATGATTGTGAAGGCATCCCATAGAGAGGATCAGGCTTGTGTCTATGTGTACAATCTAGCCTGATAAATATCAGACAGGAGGCCTCAGAAGTGGACACAGAAGCGGGGTTTCAGAAAGCACGTGGAATTTTATACAACATTTATGTACATTTAGACGGGGAAAACAGTTTCAAAGGAATATACAGGAGTCAGGGGGCTAAATTCTGACTCATATGCACAGTTTCATTGAGTTTGAAGACAGTCGCATGTCTCTAAATTTCCTGAGGGTTGAACCTGGACGTATTCTAAGTGATAGCTGGTTGCTAAAGGAGGAAGCCAGCACTAGGCTAGTTATTCTTGTCATGGTTGCCCAACCCTCAAAAGCCTCTGAGATACACAGACAAGGACCTGGTATGAATGAGTCACAGAAGGGAATTTACTAGTCAAAGAGGAAATTACATCTCAGAATTGTTAACTTTATGTTTGACCGCATGGATAACACTACACCAGCAGGTGTGCCATGTGCATGGAAGATGCTGCTAACTTAGCAATACCAATGTTTGCTTTGCAAAGGGTCCATGTGGCTTCCTGTGCGTGGCTGAGCCTCCTCAACCGCCCTTGTTAAACTTCAATTTTGTTCTCTACTGCAGGCAGGCTGTCTACTTCCACAGTAAAAG